CTTGAGAGGGCTGGACATTGGTGGCTGAATTGGTTTGTGAAAATTTTGTGAAATTTGTGACTAGTTTAGAGACGAAAATTTTGGTTACCAAATTTTCCTTGAAAAATCCGTCTCTAAATTTGTCACTAATTTAGTAGCTAATTTTATTTTTCTTAAAAATTAGGTGCAGCCACTAATTTCAATTAGTGTGAATTTACATTTCATTTGGTGTGAATTTGCATTTCATTTGAGTGTAAATTTGCATTCCATTTGGTGTAAATTTGCATTCCATTTGGTGTAAATTTGCATTTCATTTCTTGTAAATTTTAATTTCTCTCATTTTGTACAAGGCCTTTATTAGGAGTGTCTTGGAGTGCCTTTGGGGTATCTCCATCTTTCCTTAGTGTTTTCAAATAGGTAAATACGTTTAGTGCTTGTGAGAGTGGTCCTTGGAAGTCTTTGGTACTTTCCAAGCTCTCACCTAGGTTTACTGCCTTAAACGCCTAGTTTATGTTTTCTTGTCTTTAAGTTTTCTTGCAATTTAGGTTTTCATGTAATTTATGTTTTCAACAATTTAAGTTTTCAATAAGGGTGTTCATGGATCTATTTTTTGAAAAAATCGATCCAAATCGAACCGAACTGTTTTATAAAAGTAGATCGGTTAACTGATCCATTTTTTATAAAGTGGATCAGTTCGGTTTTTTTAAAATATGGATCGGTTTTTTTTGAAATTGGATCGGTTCTGTGCGGTGCAGTTATCCACTTTTTACTCATGTGGATCGATTTTTTTTAAAAAACTGAACCGAACCAAACCGATCCACTTTGTAAAAATGGATCGGATAACTGAACCGGTTTATAAAGTGGTTCGGTTTAGTTTTTTTCAAAATGGATCAGATTTTTCAATATGGATCGGATCGGTTATGGATCGGTTCAGATCAATTTGAATTTTTTGCACAGCCCTAGTTTTCAAGCAATTTATGTTTTCATGTCATTTATGTTTTTAAGCAATTTGTGATTTCAAGCATTGATAATTGTACATATTAGGCACTTGCTTGTTATTTTCTTTTGGAAAAGATCTTTGGGAAAATTGCTTTGTGCAAGAAAAAAGTACAAGGGGGTTTAGAGATTTTTACTTGAAAAGGCTTGGTTATTAAGTGGCTCTTTAGTAGCTCACCTCCCTCCATAGTTCAATTTGTACTCTTAGACCTCTAAGTGCCAAGTCTAGCACTTCAAAAATATTATTTTCTTTAAAAACTATTTTTGTGTGAAAATCCTTTTTGTTTAAAAATGTCTCAAGATTCCTATCCTAGTAAAAGTGAGGGCTCTCCAAAAAGTCTTTCTTACTTAACCAAAGAGCTCAAATCACTTAAGCTCTGGGAAAGTAAGAGGCCATTCAAAAGGAAAAAGAGAAAATTGAAAGAGAAGGCCAACTTGCTTATTTAGAGGAAGAATTGAGAATTCTTAAGCAAGAAGAAGAGAAACTTAAAGAAAAGATGAAAAAAAAAAGAGAAGAAGTAGGAGCTCACACTCTTAATATTCTTCTCCCAATGAGAGTCTAAACATGGGAGACCACTATTAACCTCCTCCTAGGAGAACCATTAGACCAAGGGAAGTCAAGGTTGACCTCCCACAATTTTTTGGAAAGGATGATGTGGAACTATATTTAGATTAGGAGATGAAAGTTGAGCAACTCTTTGCTTGCCACAAGGTAAGTGAAGAGAGAAAAGTCCCTCTCGCTACCCTTAGCTTCCAAGGGCATGCCATGTAATGGTGTGTAGACCCCTAAAATTGTCCGGGTCGGAAATAAGACTCGAAGACTCTCAAAGATCAAAGGAAAGTCAGCCAAAGGGACTCTTAGAAGACCGTGGGATGACAATCTGTAGGTTTAGAGGTCTTAGAGTAACAAAAAATAAGAAAGTGGAAGGAGTGGAGCTCAATACGGCCTCTTTGGAGCTCAGTACGGCCCGTATTGCATTTTTGAACTGCAATACGGCCGTACTGAAACCAATACGGCCGTATTGAAGCTTTTGAACCTCAATACGGCCGTATTGAATTCAATACGGCCGTATTGAGGTTCAAAAGCTTCAATACGGCCGTATTGGTTTCAGTACGGCCGTATTGCAGTTCAAAAATGCAATACGGGCCGTACTGAGCTCCAAAGAGGCCGTATTGAGCTCCACTCCTTCCACTTTCTTATTTTTTGCTACTCTAAGACCTCTAAACCTACAGATTGTCATCCCACGGTCTTCTAAGAGTCCCTTTGGCTGACTTTCCTTTGATCTTTGAGAGTCTTCGAGTCTTATTTCCGACCCG